TGGTGGCACAGCCTCAAAAATCGGATGCAAAAAAGAAAAAACACACAAAGGAAAAATCCTCATATGCATGCAGAGCCAAGGGCTTTGCTACCCTGGAGGGTTTGGTGATGGTTGGCAAAGGAAGATGTGCCGGCAGGCTGGCGAGGGGAGGGATGGCACCTCAACGTGGAGCTTTGCTAGCCGAGCGCGCTGCGGTGGCTGACGCTGCTCTTTTCTCCATCTCTCCCTCCACCACCACCTCCACCCCCTTGCCCAGAGATCCCCCAGTGCGCCGGCTGCAACCAGCATATCCTGGACAAGTTCATCCTCAAGGTCCTGGACCGGCACTGGCACAGCTCCTGCCTCAAGTGCGCCGACTGCCAGATGCAGCTGGCCGACCGCTGCTTCTCCCGGGCTGGCAGCGTCTACTGCAAGGAGGACTTCTTCAAGTGAGTACCCCCCTAGGGCCACAGCCCCCTGAAAGCCACTTCTCCCCCATCCACGAAGCAGGCAAATGCACAACTCGTTTTTCTCAGCGTCGTTTCTGCAAAATTTTCACCTAGTGGTGTGTTTTGTGTCGGTTTTTTGGTGTTTTGGGGTTTTTTTCTGTGGAAAATAATGGAAATGTTGGCACTTTGTATCTGGATGCTGCTTGGTGGGGATTTAACCTTCTGGAAGCCCCAAATCTCCCTGATGCTCCCATCTCTCCTCTGTGCTGATTCCCAGCTCTGCTTGGAGCTAGAGGGCAGGAGAAACCCGCGCATGGCAGCGGCAGTGAGCCCCTTGACAGGGTCTGCCAGTGACATTCATCTCCATCTTTTTACCTTTTTTCTTTTTTTTTTTCCCCTTCCCTCCTCCTTTTTTTTTTTTCTCCCAATAGTGTAAAAATCTATGATGGCAGGTGCCTCCAAGCTGTGTGATGCTCCAGCTTCTGCATTTCCCCGCTCTCACAGGGCAGGACAACCCATTTCCCCTTAAAAATGCACTTTTCAGCGGAGATTCTCTAGTCCTGGCTGCTGGGGAAATCAGGGAGTTTTCCCAAGGAATGGCAGAGGGTGTTGCAACAGGACGGTGAATTGCTGTGAGGCGGAAGGATGCTACTCTACACCTCCTGCGAGGAGGAGAGCCAGATCCTGGCCAAGTGCTGCCTTTTGCTGGCAGGGGGCAGGTGGTGGAGCCCATCCAAAAAACAGCTGCCACAGGTTGGGGACTGGGGCCACCTCCCTATACCATCATCTTCTGCTCATCCCTGTCCACACCGGCTCTTCTCATCGCTCCCCGCTGTCAGCTGGCCGGCTAAACCAACCGATGGCGATTCCATCCCGTGCTAATCCTGGGCAGGACTTTCCCTGCCTGCCCATCCTCGGGCTCTCAGGCCTCCCATGTGTGTCTCCTGACTTCAGCCATCAGGGCTTGAATTTCTCCTTCCCAGCTGGGGAACGTGCGACGGTCAAAGCAGCCTCTACAGCCTGGGTAATAACACTTCACTTCTGATATTTTCCAGCCTATTAATCTCCAAGTCGTTTAAATAGTTGCCCAAAAGGTGCGGGTAATCAATGTTAATTAGAGTTGAAAGATCAGCGACTTTCTTAGATGAGGTCCTGCCTGGATTATTTGGTGCCAATCAATAGCATCTCGGGCTCTTGCCTCACCTTTCTTTCAACTGCTCATTGATTTCGGGGTAGGTAACCCACGGAGGACGTAAGGATTTAAAGGCTATTTTCAGAGGCAGGTTTGTAATGCAGGAGCCACTTCTGAAAAGAATAGATTTTTTTTTATTTTTTTCATCTTTTTTTCCTTCCCCAGAACCGTGGCTGTTGAACCCCAGCTGTGGGTGGTCAGTTCCACCCTCGGTCCAGCCATCCCTGGGTGGTGCGGAGACACCCCAGGATGTTTTGGGGGGTGCTAAAATGGCTTTAATAGGGTTCTAGGGGGTGGGGGAGGGAGGATGGGGGCTGCAGGGTGTGCACCAGCTCAGCCTTGGGCACAGAAAAGCATCATCTCTCTGCCTGTCCTACCCCTCCCTCCATTCCTTCCATCCCTTCATCCCTCTCTCCATGCCCTCTGTCCTTTCTTCCCTCCCCTCCCTTCATCCCTCCCCCTTTCCCGTCTCCTCCCTTTATTCCCTCCCTCCCAGCTGACTCCCGGGGAGCTGAGGTCTCCCCAGCAGGTGTCCAGGGACTCTCCCTTTAGGATCCAAGCCCAGAAAATGAGACGAGTTTTACCTCCTCACCTTCTGCTTCCAGCGTTCCTTTGAGAAGCTGCCAAAATTGTGCCTCTCATCCCATGCCTGGGTGACACCTGGTGACTCAAGGACAGTCTGGGGTACCCAGTTTTAGTGGTCATCCCCCAACTTTCTGGAGGGCAAGAGGATTTTGTGGGTTTGGGGGATGTTCAGCCCTCAGGGAAGGGGAAGCAGTGAGAGGTGCCGTGGGTGGGCATACCTGAGCACCCACTACCCATCCCTGCAGCCTTGGAACTGGGGACCAAAGCAGGGAGGAGCAGTCCCGGGCTGCCTTCTTTGAAGCAGATGGATCAATTTGAGGCATAAGGGGGTGGATTTATTCTGATAGTTTGTGGCCTGGGCTGCTGCTGCGACACCAGGATGACTGGCACCCCACTGATGGGATGTTTAAGGGTGCAGCTGAGCTCTTGTGGTGTTGGTGGGAGGTAGGAATCTGCCCACACTGCCGATGCTGAAAACACCAGTGGAACATCCTTTTATTTCTGACTTCCTCCTGCGCTTGCCACCGCCTCGTGGCACGTGTCGCGCTGCCGCTGTTGATTCACTTTATTCCGGACGTTATCCAGCTGTGATCTGGGTGTTAGCCTTCATGTCTGTATGGGGCGACCGCACCCTTCCACAGACGAGGCTGCACCCACATGGGTTCACCCAGCTTATGGGTGCATTCACCTTCCACTCTTCTTGCACGTTCCTTGCACCATTCTTGCGCTCTCCTTGCATCCTACCCCCAGGCCAGTGCACCCAGTGCCCCCGTCGGGCTGTCCTTACGCTGTAAGAGCCCCATCATTCTGCATTAATCTGGGATTCATCATGCTAGCGGGATGGTGTAATTAATTTATTTGGTATTAATGTGGATGAAATATGTACTGTCCTTGCAGGGTAAAAAAAAAAAATCAGGCAGCCTATAAGCATTAGTTAAAAGAACCATTAGAAGCAAACCTTCCTCAGCTCCATTAGGCTGGTCTTTCACACTGAAGAAGATAAACCCCTGCCATGTGAAGTGTCATGCATAATTAGGTTGATTGCTGATTTAAACTCTGCCCTGTTTCCTGGTCCCCGTCCCATTTCTGGCAAAGCCCACCTCGCCATGGGGGCTCAGGGATTGCCTGCTTCTCCTTGCAGGCGTTTCGGGACCAAATGCACGGCTTGTCAGCAGGGCATCCCCCCCACCCAGGTGGTCCGCAAAGCTCAGGACTTCGTCTACCACCTCCATTGCTTCGCCTGCATCATCTGCAGCCGGCAGCTGGCCACCGGCGACGAGTTCTACCTGATGGAGGACGGGCGGCTGGTCTGCAAGGAGGACTACGAGACCGCCAAGCAGAACGGTAGGCACCCCAAAAGGGTGGGACATCGCACCTAGGGGTGGCTATGGGACACATCACCAGCATCATCCCTGCTGGAAGGGGTCTCTGGGCAGCTCGTTTTCTTGGCAGCTTGGTTCGGGGTTGCTCACGCTGATGTTGTTGGGGCTGGTACTTGCAGATGACTCTGAGGCGGGCGCTAAGCGGCCCCGGACCACCATCACAGCCAAGCAGCTGGAGACGCTGAAGAACGCCTACACCCCAAACGTGCCCGGCAGGTGCGGGAGCAGCTCTCCTCCGAGACGGGGCTCGACATGAGGGTGGTGCAGGTGAGGCCACGGGGATGCCCCTCTCCACCCTGCCCCTGGTGAAGAGGGACACCAGGATCCCACTGCGGGGCTGGGCTGCAGGGGTGCTGGGTTTCAGGG